GCTTTGAACCTCCAAAGCGTAAACCCTGAAAATCTTCTTGATCTCTAAGATGCTGCTGAACCTGAATTCACATCAAGAATCTAATTCACCTAAAGAATCTGTCTGAATTATATTTTATTGCTAGTGATTTATTTGGGTCACAGTTACTTTAAATCCAGAAAGAAATTTCAGTTTTGCTAAATGCCAGGTTTGCCTCGTGGAGTGCTTTCAAATTATGTGATAATACTACACCTTCCACTGGAATGCAAGCGGCACAATTACATTCACTTTGAAATCCATGCCATCCAATAATACACAATATACACGCTATGCTGAGACCTGTTAAAAGTCATGTAAGCAGAGCTCCTTCATGTTCGCACGAAGTATTAAACTGTTTTTTCTAGTTAGAGAACATTTCCCCACTCTTAAACACACTACAAAGTTTTGGAAATAATGGATTTGGCTAGTTACTCTGGACTTCCTTGGTGGTCTCCCATCCAATTACTAACCAGAGCCAAACCTGGTTAGTTTCCAAGATCTCCTGAAATCAGACTAGCTTGGGCCGGCCATCCAGGTGTGCTATTCCTACGTGTCAAGAAAAGACTCTGCTTCTTATTATTGGGACAGCGGCTGCTTTTACCAGTAACAAATGGTTGTGTCTTGTATTGAATGTGAACCTGTTAATTGATATTATCTCTCAGTCTAAGGGATTAGACAACAGCACAATGATACCAACACTTGCATCTTTAAAACATAATTTTGCAGTCTTGAATGGAATGAAGAAGTCCAGCGTTTTTTCCAAGAAACAGGAAAACGCAGTGCAGGTGGTCCCTCAGAAACCAGCCAATGGTTCACTGGCAGGCTGCAGCCTACCTTCTCGCTCACCAAGGTACTAAAACTGACAGGGCTGCAATTATTTAAGGGAAGCACTAAATGCTTTCAGTAAACAGCTTTCTTGTCCAGACGTATCAATATCTAATGAGTTTGCAAAGATATTCATTTCACAACCTTGGACTAAAAGATTAAACAGTTGCTTTATAACAGTGTCTGCCTTTGTCAGACATTGGCTGGGATCCAAAGAACTACTTCGAAGTTTGCGCAGTGGAATTTCTCTTCTTTGGACAGCAATGCCTGTTCTCCTTGCCCAGCCTATCAACCTAAATCACTTGCTGTATTTGCCAGGGAACATCTACAAGGGACTTGCAATACTTGCATGTGAATGATGTAAACGCCTGCTGCCTCTTTTAGGCTAGAATGAAGAACAGGGTAATTTAAGATTAACTCCATGCACAGAACAGAGTCCTGTATGTAAATGGGGTGGCCTTATGCAGGCTTCACCAGGGCCACTTTCCCTCAAGGGGATCTCCAGAGTTGCAAAAAACAGAGGGTGGCAGGAGCAAGTAGTGGGGGCAGCCATCCCTGAATGTCTATTTGCAAGGCTGGTTTAAAAGGTGGGGGGGGGGGGGGGGGGGAGACGGACAAATAAAAAGTGACAGTGGAAGGTTTTCATGTGAAAAACAAACACAGAAAGCTATACAAACAATGATCAAAGAGAAGTAAGAAAAGGCTTACTAATAAGAAAAGTTCAGGTGGGTAGCTGTGTTTTAGTCTGAAGCAACAGAACAAAGTTTGAATCCAGTGGCACCTTTAAAACCAAAAAAGTTTAATTCTGGGTATAAGCTTTTATATGCATGTACAAGAAAGCTTATACCCAGAATTACACTTTGTTGGTCTTCAAGGTGCCAGTGGACTCAAACTCTGTTCTAAGAAGACAACTGTTGGAAAACCTGAGGCTGGAAGAATATTCTGGAGTTTCCACCTTAAGTTTTTATGCAGACAGAGAAAAGCTGAGGTCAAGCATTAATGCTGTATCTTTGCTAGACAACCTAAATACAGGGGTGTCGAACTCATTTGTTATGAGGGCTGGATCTGACACAAATGAGACCTTGTTGGGCCGGGCCATGTGGGTCATAAAATGTAATGCCAGGTAGCGGGGATATAAACTTTATAAAGGACACAAACACAAGGCGTTTTTTTTACTTAAAATAAAAACATGCTTAAAACATTAGCTCTGTAAGCTGCAAACCTACTTTTGATTTATTGACGTTCACCACAGAAATCTCATGCTCAGAGTTCTGAGTCTAGGACCCAGTTTAAAAAAATGAAATGGCTGAGTGATTAAGAAAATCTGTCGAATCAAGCAATGATGAAGCAAAACTGGACGCAGGAGAGGGCCAGTTCCACTGCAGGCCTGATGGAAGCCCTCCAGGGGCCTGATCCAGCCCCCGGGCCACATGTTTGACACCCCTGGCCTAATATATCACAGAGCACCACCAGCAGGAGTAAACTTTCCAAATGCTCATTTGATTTTATCCCATCTATCTAAAAATCACATATCAGTAGGTTCTAAGATATGAACTTAGCATTTTAGTCTATGGCCACACATTTCACCTTTTACAATGAACTTTTAAGCCAAGAGACAGTGGCCTATTTATACTGTCAAGAATATTAAAAACAAAACAGCTGTAAATGTTTCAATGTAAACAACGTTCTTGTTCTGTTAATAAAATAGCACTGGCCTGGTTATACACATCTCCCCTAAAGGTTTTATAAGGATTTGAGAGCACAAAAGGGCAACATTATGAATCACTTCTCCACTCCCTTTGCTCTAGATATTTTATACACACACACTCACCATCCTACTGCAGTGGATATATGGCATTTTGCAGTGATGCAACAAGACAAGAGGCTGGAGACATGCTTCCTCTACTATAAGACACCATCACCCATGGGGACAAGCAGCCAAGAGTAATATTTTAAACCTGTTTGGGAAGGAGAGAAGCTGAGCAAGCTAAGAGACATGCATACAATACCCCTTTAGAGCCAACAGTACCCTAGATGCCTCCCGTGCTGCACATTCACAGACAGTAGGTATTGAATACAGAAGTCTCCACAACCTGCTATTTTGCAACGTTAATTTGGAGAAAAGGGTAAGAAAGTTTGCCAAAAGCGAATGCTTCACCATGTGAAAAATGGCAACACCTTCAAAACACTTAGTATGTTGAAAACTAATAGACAGCCATTAGCAAGTACAGGCAATCATGGGCTTGCTCTAAGCATTTCTACTTGCTGCTACTGTGTTCTACTAAAACCAGGGGCACAGCCACAAAATGGCTTCTGCAGGAGGAGGAGCCAAGCACAAAATGTCAGGGAGTGAGGTCATGCATAGCTCTAATGGTAGCAGAAACTCTGTTTTACAGGATGCCCTTTAACATAAACATGTTGTTTAAAGATACTTCCATGAAGGGAAGATCTTTGTGTTGTTGCGATGGCAGCTGCTGCCAAAGCAATTTTTTAAAACCTGCACAGCCAAATCAGAAGCCCTGATGGTCAAAAGCCCCACCTGGCTCCTCCTACTTTTCAAAACACTTACGGTACTCTGGGCACCAAGAAAGGTGTCGGCAGGCTTCACAGGGCCCTCCCCCCATACAAAACGTACACTGAACCACAAGGCAAAGAGACTCTTCTCAGCTCAACCAGAAGCCTCCCAGAAGCGGAACCCCCTCAAGTGGAGAAAAGCTTCAACCTCTGCTGAGTGGAGTGGCAGGATGCAGGCAGCCCAGTGGCTGTCAAGGGCACAAAAGGATCCAGAGTCCTCCACCGGAAAGAACTACAACCGAGTGATGAGAGAAGATCCTTCAAGGTGTCACAGCAACCAGGATCTCTTCATTAATCACTGACATCTCAACATATTGGGAAACCTGCATAGCTCTTTTAAGATTTTTAGACCATGTTACAAATCCATGTTAACTTTATTCTGACACAACATTCAGTTCAGTTAGCCTTTACTGGCATAAAAATACCTTAAAAGAGGATTGCTATAAAAGAGAAATATACATATAAAACCATACAGAACCATACATATAGAGCCCAGCATTTTACTGACGACATGATCAGATAGGGTTTAAATATCCAGAACGTATATCTACATAAAATTGACAATGCAAACAGATATGAGAAACTGTCTCAATGCATCCAGCGCTGCAATGGCAAAGTCTCCCTATATACTATGTTGTTATACCTCCCATGCAAGATCGCTGATGGTATTACATTGAACCTTGCTAGAGCGGTGCTTGTATACCAGATAAGTATGGGGGCCATTCGGCCTACCGTGAGGGGCAACTCAACGTTCAAGGGAGAACAGGATTTGTTGGCTAAGCTGCATAGCCTTTGTAACACAACATTCACTGAAAAGTGAATCATTTAAGACACAAACCCAAACTAGAGTGATGTTTGCCTTCCTTTTAAAAGCTTCCCAACAAGACAGCCAGCTTTTCATACCACCATATCCTGCAGTGTGAACAAACCGCTAGCAAACAGCTACGCAAAGCCACATTACCTTCCAACTCTGTTCCACACAATCTAAGACACGCAAGTCATTTTTTTAAAAAACCCGAGAAAGAGCAAATCACCATAAATTTATGGTGCCACAGATTTCTAAACATTACATTCAATGGCAATGAAAAACTTACCCACCACTGAGAACACATATGCAAAATAATTCCCATGCCCACTCCAAAATTAGGAGTGCTACGTCCTTGAAATCCCAAACAACAGAAACGATGTCTCTCTGAATTAGGCAAGCAAGCGCATTAGTACAAAGCAATGGTACTCAGTAACTCAGGAGCCACAAGCAACTCTTTGACCTGTGAATCTTAGGAGCACTGTTCCCCAATTGTGGCACCTGCCCCACCTTTCAGTAAACTGGGCAAAGCCCCTGCCTGTTGGGGCTTATGGTTGGTGGGTGGTTCCCACCTTAATCCCCAACATCGGAGGAATGGGGAAGCTGTGAGCCTTCCTAAGGTGCAGATCTCTCATAAGACAGAAAGTAAATAACAGCTTAGTTGATGATGATTGCAAATGAGCACCATTCGTACAAAGCAGAACTCAAATGCAGCTCAGCCAGATTATCCAAGTTCTGGAAAACCAAATTTTACAAAGACGTAACATTTTATACTTACCTGGTCTTTTTCATGAGGCAAAAGACTAACAGGTGGGAGAGATGCTGGAAAAGTACTGTACTTGGATGCTCCTTTGCCTTCCAGACCACCATAGTTCACCCTATACTGAGGCCCATCTTTCAATAATCTCCCATTATTTACAGCTCGTTTGGCCCCCAATCGTAATCGCCGCTGAAACACGGGGTTATTGAAAATACTTGCTAGGTCACTTTGACTTCTCAGATATTTTTCTATGTTTCTGAGGGAAGAGCCATTTGGTTCCTTAAGTCCTTCGATTCCTCTCCGCAGGAGTTTATTCCAATCCACATTCCGAAGTTCATTACAAGCTCCTCTAGACCCTTTGGTCGGTTTAGGTAGCTCACCAGGTTTAATGGATGAAAAACGCCCAGGATTATCTGGATCTTTGTAGGAAGCGAGGCCTTTGTTGGTAACTTTGAGAACAGAACCATCTTGGACACTTAACTCCAGCTGTTCTGAAACCGTTTTTTTATCTAAACCGTGGGACGCACACACCGCATGACAAATTCTTTCTTCAGATGGCCTCTGCTTTTGCCTTTTAACTTTCTGTATCGCTTCAAGAATCCACTCTGTATAAAGTGGGTTGGCAAGTTTTACCATGGTTGACCAATAATTCCCTGTGGCAAAGGGTTAGCCATAGAGTTCCTCCCTAATTGTTTTTGTGAGCCTTCCAAGAAGTATTCACCAAAAGAATGATCAACTGTTCTTTGTACTCTGCACAAGAACTCAGATATTCATCCTTTAAAAACCAGGAATGATTCAAAGGTTTAAAATAATTCATTATTTAACCAACACGGAGAGTTGGGATCACTTCATTATACCAGCTGGAAGAAATCTCTACAATTCAGTTTGTGTGTTTCTGCGTAATTCAAGTATCCAGGTCTTCACAAGAGCCTAAAAATAGTTAAGGAAAAAAAGCCATAGTTAGACAATCACACTTCATTATGTAACAGAAGCCTTTTTCATTCTTAACACATGCACTGTTTTATTAAAATAATGACTGGAAATCAAGGCTAGCCACTATATAAGATGTACTAAACTCAGTGCGGATATGCACAGGGGGACAGACAGGGTCACATACTTCCCTCAAAATACAGGCTGCAGATCTGGGCCCAAGCAACAGTTCCTAACACCCATAAGAAGATATACATTAAATGATGTGTGTATCTTTTCTACAGACTTGCAGAGCTGAAGTAGGCTGCGATTACATCATGCATAGAATATCCACTTTCAAACAGCCCAACTCTAATCATGTCAGGCCCGCTGTGTTCAGTGGGATTTAACTTCCCCCAATAGATGTGCACAAAATTTTGCAGGCTTCATGCAATCGGAGGGACCTAGGCTGCCATCCTAAGTTCATTTGCCCCACCAGGGCTGCTTCCAACATGGTGATGATTCTCCATGTGGCCTTCATTACCAATGGAGCATCCACATGACAGTTTGCCCCACACATTCCTGGCCCCCATTCCCCTGTGCTACCAAGAGGGCGTATTTGCATTTTTTAAAAAAAAATCAGCAATTGACATATAGCATTACAACAATCTATTATCACAACCTATTATCATTTCTGAAATCCCAGCTTTCATTTTTAAACAGTGTTTCGAGACAAGCCCTTCCCCTTACATCTCCTCAATGAAAGGGATAAGAATTTAGTAGTAAATAGATCACAGTAAATAGGTTGTTATACTGTTGCAGTGAAAGGGGAAATGGCAACCACAGGGAAAGGGGTTTGAGGGGGGAAACGGTGACAATGTGGGCAGGAGCTGCACAAATGCACATTTCCCCATCCACATGGCATAAAACATGCTTTTTAACTGCAGTGCTACCGAAAGATCAGACTAAGCCAGGTTTGGCAAAGATCCCTGGAAAGCAGGATGATTACAGGAGAATATCACATAAACTGGAGCAAAACCTCCAGGTGGAAGCAGACCTAAAACAGTAGTTCCAATACTAGCGTAAGATTTGGAGGACCTGCTTCGGCTCCCAATGTCAAGCCTAATAGCATGAACTAGTCTATACATCTACTAGGAATAAGGCCCGTTGTGGGAAGAAATACAACGAGCTCTAGAAAGAGGTTCCGGGTAAGTGTCCCAGCTGCGGAGGGTCGGGGGAAATAGAGGGAGGCGAGCCGTGTTTATTTCCTTCTGTTTAGCTATAAGGCAAGGCTGCCTCAAGTCATTTTGCTGCCCCAAGTGGGTAGTATGGGAGGAGTGTCATATAACAGGTATGGTTCCCTCCAATGCTGACTTACGTTGATTTGGGGCTATGCAGTGGTGGCTAAGGTAGAAAAGCACCTCCTCCTATGTCATGTTTTCTGTGTTCCAAGGGTCTGGAAAGTGGTTCCGTAGCCACTTCTGGGTTTTGGAAATACCTGTAGATTTGAGGGGTAGAGCCTGGGTCTGGGGTGAAGAGGGACCTCAGCAAGATATAATGCCATAGAGTCCACTGCCCAAAGCAGCCATTGTCTCCAGGAGAACTGATCTTGGTCACCTGGTAATCAGTTGTAATAGCTGGGAAGTTTTCTGTAAGGGAAATGATGTGCTGTGGCTGGGGGACATGGTGATTTCTGGGAGATCTCCAAGTCCCACAGGGAGACTGGCAACCCCAGTGAACATTTAGGGGACTACTGGGAGATGTATTTTCCCTCAAGACACATTCAATGATGCCCAACAGCAACAGCAAATGTTTAGATTGTTGGAGACGAGGGCCAATCAGGCCACATATGCAAATGACCTCTGTATTCCAACTGGCTATGGGGAGGGAGAGGATGATGTGCAGAATGGAGCGAGGCCCAATCTACAGCAACTAATCTACAGCAACTAATGAACTCCGGCCATGAAATCCTTCAACAATATCTTTATTGTTCAAAGTGTTCACAATCAATGTGCTGTAATGTGCGTGATGATAATACACTATTGAAATGTTCAGTGTTTTACTTTTAAAACAGATTCAGGTGGGACCTTGAATAAAATTTTGTTGGCCTTAAAGGTGCCTCTAGACTCAAACTTTGTTTTATTTTTAAAAGTTTCGGTAAAGGTAAAGGTTCCCTTCCTCGAAAGCCATTCGAGTCCGACTCTAGGGTTGCAGTGCTCATCTCCGTTTCAAAGCCGAAGAGCCAGTGCTGTCCGAAGACGTTTCCGTGGTCATGTGGCCAGCATGACTAAACACCAAGGCGCACGGAACGCTGTTACCTTCCCACCGAAGTGGTACCTATTTATCTACTTACAATTTCTTGCTTTCGAACTGCTAGGTTGGCAGGAGCTGGAACTAGAGATGGGAGCACAGAGGGTCTCGAACTGCTGAACTACTGACCTTCCACAGCCTGCAGTTCAGCGTCTAAAAGTTTACCCTGTATCCAAATATTCTGCTAGTCCTACTGGGATTGTACAAAACTCTTATCAAAACAGCACTGTCTTTAATTTACTATGAAATTTAGGATTTTTTCTTACTGCTTGACAAGTGGCCAAAAATTAAGATACATGCACTTAATATGGGGTGCCACAGTATTATCTTTCTCAGGTATTGACAATACTTTCGATTTTACTTGTAGAAAACTAAGATGTTTATACTTTTAAAAGTTTATAAATATCCAAATACTAAAATTTTATATGTTAAAGTTACAAGTGATGTATTTTATGTTACTAAAGTAATAAAATAAGTTCAGGCATGATAAATACTCCCGATATTTCAGTTCTTCTTAAAATTCCTTCCTGTACCTGGCTTCATAATTGCCAAAAAAAATATGTTTAACTAGGATTCACACTTAATTCATGCTGGATAATGGTGAGCCTCAAGTAACTTGGTCAGCACCCCATGTGAACTGCCGGTACCCACCCCCAAAGAATAGCCACTACTCCCCTGTGGCTGTGCCCTGAATAAGCCTACCTTTAGGGAGGCATTTCCACCATTCCTGTTTACTTGGGCCTTCAGACTAAATTCCAAGGAACCCCAGCACTTCTAAAGAACATGGATTGAATGCCACAGTTTGGGAGGCAAGAGGCACACATCAAGGAAGTCCAAAGACCAACACCTGAATTTCTTGATCCAATGGATCAGGAACCCAGGGAAGAATTCCAACCACAAGGCCTCCACATTCCAGTCAAGACTAGTGTGTCACCATGCTCTGCAGTACAGCAAGCAAGCCGTATGTTCCATCCACTCATAAAATGTTTGGTAGTAGCATGGCCCCCTTGCTGAATTTAGACCCTCACATATGGCTGTCCTGTTCAAATGCAGTTTTACAAGTAAAGAAATCACAGTTTTGAGGCCATTTAAACCCTGGCTTATCAAAAATAGCAAATTAAACAACACAGCAAAACAAAAAATCCACTGAAGGGGACCAGGGATATAGGCATTAACTTTAAACCACTGTTGCCAGTAAGTTCTTCAGTTTGCTGAGAAGAGTCTGTGCAAAACAGCTAGGATACGTCAGTTCACACGCCCAAGGGATGCAACCAGAGGGACCTTGGATTAGTAGATTTTTATCCGGTCCTTCTCCAAAAGCATGCAAGGCCCATGGCTCCCCACACTTCATCCTCAAGTAAATGAACCCTAAAGATTACTGGCCCCAAATCCCACAGGAAGCTTCAAGGCAGAGTGTGAATTTGAACCTCAGTTTCCCTTGTTCTAGTCTGACAATAGCCATTAAACCAAACTAGTCTATTTCCTGGCCCATCACAGGCAAAAAACATACTACATACATACTGCCACATAAAGTCAATAATTCCCTAAAAGCATCATAATGCTTCTCAAGAAATAGCAGCATTTGTCCCTCTGCTGGCACTAGGTACAACTTGCTCTCTTTTCCAAGGCCCCAGGCAAGGAAGCAAACAAGTCTAGTATCAGCTAATAAGAGTATTAACAAGAATTCTCAGCACCTCAAAGAAAGAAAAATCCTATACACAGCTTGTTTTCGTGACAATCTTATATCAGAAGTCACCAGGAATGTTTAGAACTATCACAAGAATCACTCACACTACAATATAAAAACAAAGTTTGCATATACATCAACTATATTCTTTCCATGAATCTCTTGCTGCATATGGGTGAGACTCCTCTTGGAAAATTATTCTAATAAAATGCACATCTTCAGAATTAATTGATTTGTGAACAGATGTCTTCTTAAGCAGAAACCATTCCACACAAGTTCACTGGAAACTTGTCCTGCAAAAGCTGTTGTCAAGTTTCCCACCACTCGAAAAGGAGGGAAATGGGGCTGCAGGACAGGAGGCAGAGAATGTGTCTGAGCGGTCAGTGACACGAGACCTGCAAAGGGCTGGTCCACACAACCACATCCATCGTAGGAATGAACACACAAAGATGACTTGCAAGTGTGAACAAGTGTCACGGCTTGAGCATGATCCAAAGCCAATACATAAACACTCTCTTCCCTCTAAAACCAACACACTTGTTACCCTTATTTGATTTATACATTGTTATTGATTTCAAATACAAACTGCTGAGAGCCGAACTGGATGAAAAGCCTGTTAAGAACCTCATGAATACGTAAATCAAAACTAGAGAGCTCCCTTTCGTCTCACACCCATGATGTTCCACTCAGTCTAGTTTTCACATGTGCCTGTCAAACTCAACATACAGCAATCAAAGATACAGACGCCCAGGACTGTTCAGGCTTGTGAGTCTGCCCCTAAACATGCCAGCAATCCAGCGATGTTCACACACAGGCAGATCAAGAGTGCGATAAGAGAGAAGAAATTTGGGAAGAGGGGGGGGAACAGCCACTTTCTCCACCTGGCTTGCCACACAGCAAT